TATTTTATTACAAAGTAGTATTTTATTGCTCGTAGTGACTTTGACTAGTGTGATTGTCTGATGTAATACATTCAGGGAAAATTAACGCGAGGCACGCTTTTTTATATATTGAATTTTTTATTTAAATGTTAAATAATAATTTGTGAAAAAATCCAGAAGAAAGATCGCTTATAAATGTATAAACATTATACATTATATAATACATATATATTATATATACATTTAATTTATATATATATATACACACACACGTTTGTATCATTTACATATAAAAATAAATAGTAAAAATGTAGATTAGGGTAGACCCCCTCAATGACCTTGACCTTGACATATGTTGTCAAGGTCATGATCCTGAGTGATATTGAGGAAGTTTTAACCGTCGGACCTAACTCGTTAAAAAGTTAACAAACAAAGTTTCAAAATTAACGTATTATTTCTGCTATTATCTATATACACTTTTTTTGAGTGATCATTAAAAAGTTACAAACAATTTTTTGTTTAAAAAATTAAAACATTGAACAAAAATTCCGAAAAAATTCTGTACGCTAAATTGGGTCTAAGTGAACATTATTTGTTTCTTAGACTTTTTTGATAAAATCAATAGTTTTTGAGATAGAAAATGTCAGAGCTTGAAAAATGACTAGATTTACGATTTTTGTTCTCACGAACTAATTATCCAATCAGCACAAATAACAAATGAAAATGTTCGGCCAATCTTAAACTTTAATGAGCATTTTTTTATTTTATCCGTACTGTTATTGACAGTGAAAACTGTATTAGAAAGAAGCTCTGGATGCTTGTCCGGCTTGAAGACGGCCATCTCCCTCTCATTCTCTCTTCCATTACACCATCGAATGGAAAAAGATAGAGTTGGCCGTCTTCCACTAGAGTCCCTATAAGAGAGTTGTGTCAATCTGAAGTAAAATAGCGTCTAATTGGGACTCTAGCAGAAAGGGACGCTAGACCTTATACTACGAAGAGCGTAAAGTCATGGTGGCAGGCAAGACGAAAGCTTGCTAATACGAACGGCAACGAGTCCTCGGTTTAAGTCCCGGCACCGGTGGAGTCTCGATATTTTTCTCGATCCAGCTCTTACAATATCAAAATTATAAGTAAGTCTATACATTATTATAAAGCCTTCGAATTAAAAATATATAAAAGATACAGATATTACGTGGTCGAAAGTGACGTTCTAACCTTGTCTACTTGTCAATATTATATAATTTAACGTAAATTCTACTCTTACAACTTTTAAAATTTAAACCACCGCGTTCACATTATTCAAAAGTGGGGTATAACAGCATCGATGATTGGTTCCGCCATTTTACTTCAAAGCCAATAAAAATTTATACAAGATTGACACAACTCTCTTATAGGGACTCTAGTCTTCCACGGACCCTCTCTCATTTTCGTCGACCACATTTTGATACTACTTACAAGGGAAGTATCACAACTGTCCGCCTCCGATTTGATTCTCCATGAAATATGTTGTTAAGCACAAAAATCTAAGAGACACATATTTTTTTATACGTACCCTAACTCATGTTTAAGGGGTGAAACACCCCTTTGAAAAAAAACGGTATTTTTCTTTCGAGGCGAATATCATCGGAAGTATAAAAGATATAAAAAAATTTTTTAAACAAAAGTTGTACGGCTTCAAGAGTACTTTAAAAATACAAAGAAAAAAATTTTTATAATAATTTTTTGTTTAAATAATTTTGTTTAAAAATTTTTTTAATTTTTTTTCTTTGTATTTTTAAAGTACTCTTGAAGCCGTACAACTTTTGTTTAAAAAATTTTTTTATATCTTTTATACTTCCGATGATATTCGCCTCGAAAGAAAAATACCGTTTTTCTTCAAAGGGGTGTTTCACCCCTTAAACATGAGTTAGGGCACGTATAAAAAAATATGTGTCTCTTAGATTTTCGTGCTTAACAACATATTTCATGGAGAATCAAATCGGAGGCGGACAGTTGTGATACTTCCCTTGTAAGTTTCAATGTGTCATTTTACTTTTGTTATGTGGATGATATAATTTTGACAGCCCCGGAGGACAAAATCATGGTTATTTTTGATACTTTTCATAGCATTCATGAACGATTACAGTTCACAATAGAATATGAGCATAATCATTGTATAAGTTTTTTGGATTTGTTACTGATTGTGGAAGATGGTAGTATAACAATTGATTGGTTTCATAAGAAAACTTTTTCTGGGAGATATTTATCTTATTTGTCTAACCTTTTTGTCACATAATAGGCGCAATTTATAGCCTGGTGGATAGAGCGATATTACTATCACATCCTAAATTTCATCAGAAAAATTTAGAAAAATGTATTTCAATCCTTTTAAATAATGGATATCCGCTGGAATTAATTTTCAAACAATTTAGTATACGAATTAAAAATTTGATACAAACTAAAAAAATTACTTCCACATTCAGTGATAACTCGGAAGAAAGTAATAAAGATTTAAATAAGAAAAAGTTCATCGTATTTCCATTTATAAATAGTGTAACATATTCAATTACTCATATGTTCAATGAATCAGTCTATAGTATTGGTTACAGATGTTTGAATAAATTGGATAGATTTATTAAAGTACTTAAAGATAAAAAAGAAAAAGGTAATAGTAATAATGTTGTATATAAGATTCCATGTGAGAACTGTAATGTGACTTATGTAGGACAGACAAAGAGAAAATTAAGTACTAGAGTAAATGAACATATAAATAATAGAAAACTTGATGCATCTAGACATTCAGTTTTAACAAACCATTAGAGTGCAATCATGTCTTTGACTGGAAGAATGGGAAAATTATGGACTCCGAATCTAATTATAATAAGAGATTAATATCAGAGATATTACATATAAAAGAACAGTTAAATGGTATTAATTTGAAAAAGGATACTGAATCTCTCGATGACATATATGTTCATTTGCTTAAACGTGTTTCTGACGATGGATAGAAATGTAAACATGTGGGTGGGGTGGAGGGGGGTCTGGTTGACTGGATATGTATTGAATCTTTGTCACTAACGTGTGATCATCTACACAGTTAGGACATATAGTGTGGTCGTAATAATTTCGAATGTCTTAAGAGGAAATTGGTTTCATCTGTTAAGGGGTTTTTTACTGCTGATGAGGACTCTGTGAAGTCGAAACGTACTGTATATTAATGTTATCATTATAATAAATTTATAGATATATTTAACAACCATTATTTGCTCAATTTATTCTTGACCTGGGAGGTTTATTGTTAATTTTAATTTGTTAATTTATTTGAGCTGTTTATAATTCAATTTCAATTACATCTAAAGTTACTTTTATTCCTCGAACTTCTGGAGCATTATATCACTCGATCATTAACAATGTATTCCCAAACCATAAATACCGTTATTTTCGGTAAATTTGTCGAATTGGCTTTAATAAGACTTGGATCTAGTTTATTTGACATTTTATTTTAATTTTGAAATTTATATAAAGAGTTTTTAAGAGTTAATTTTACTTTGACTTTCAGCATAAGCAGCCGATTGCAGACGGTTTACTACAGTGTGACGTCACGCACTTGTCAGCCAATCAAAATCGTTTTCTCAAATTTCAAACTTTATTTTAGTTTTTTAGTACCTATCCATTGCTAAAAATTATAAATTTTGTTATACATAAATTTATAATAATGCATATTTCCATAATAAACAAAAAAAATGTATTATTTTTTTTATAGGAACTCCCTATTTTAAAAAATAATTATAAATCTTAAATCATGAAGATAATATAAATTTTATTTTTTTCCAAATTTGTCAAAAGATCATTATTGATCATCTCGAAATAAATTGATTGTACTGATCGTTGGTATTGAAGAATATTACCACTTTAAATGCTACGTAAACGGGGATTGTTGAGCCATCTATTGGTGATATTTATCATCCTATAATTGTTATTCATTTTTGTAATTACCAAATCAAAGAAATATATAAATAACTGAATCAAAATGAAATATCATAATTAAATATGTAAGATAATAAAATTAATAATTGTTTTTTAAGCGAGATAAAAATTTGTACGATTTACAATCATAACAATAAAATAGATTACAATTTTTTCACAAAACAAGTTGCAACAAAAACAACTTTGTGAATGAATTTAAAAACAGAAGAAAGTAGAATTGTAAGAAAGCTCGCAGAATAATTACATTACATACATTTCTAAGTCAAATTATCAATCATATTGTACGTATTTTCAATCTGTCATAAGAAAAAATCAAATATTTTCTAAAGAAATCGTATTCAGACAAATAATAACAATAATAATGATATATATAAAACATTCGAAATATAAATTGTGTGTATCCTGATTTTTATCTAAAGTAACCCTTTTATAATTCGCTTTCATAGCAGCTGTAGTTCACTACATGCTCTGTTATAGTTAAGGCAGTTAGAGAAAGATCTATAGAGAAAATATACCAGAAAAAATTGTTTTGAAAAATAAAATTGTATTGTGTAGATCAAATTTTAGAAGTTTATTCAATTCGAGGAAGTTTCATTGATTGAAAGGAATTCAGATATAAGAATTAAGATGAATGGTCAAAATGTCAAAAAAGATCAAGTTTTTGAATGTATCATGTTACGATTGCTGGTTTTGAAATCGTTGCATTGTTAAAATCTGTTATCCTCACATTGTCGATAGTCGTAAATATATTTTGATGACGCACACATTATGCAAACTATATTATTATTATAATTAATGTACTCCCTCTTCTGATATCAAGAAGAACATGACTATCGAGCGATGATAACACCGTGTAACGTACCGACTGGTGTCCTGTCGTGAATAAAAACAAAATATGTCTTCGTACTCGAGCGAGCTGTCACGCTCGCAAGAATATCAGAGTTTTCGCAGCTCCGTACCGCTTAGAAAAATTGTTGTTGATGCTGACGGCGCGAAGGTATTATTCTGTATTATATTACAAACAGATTAATTCTGTATTACTTTTCATGTTGAATCTTTAGCTATTTTTACTTTCCTCTTTTTATCATCGATTTTCACCAAGCAATGTGACCTCATAATTCTGATAAGTACGATCATAAAAGTAAACATTGAAACGGTAACATTTTTTAATGTTTTTACTATTGTTTTAGGGATGGAAGGTGTACGATTCCAATCCAAAAACTATCAAGTGTCCACTTATATGTCTTCCACCTGTCTGTGGTACTGCTGATATTTTTTTTAGACAAATATTAGGTCTGGCTGCCAAAGGTTATAGAGTTATCTCAGTAAGTTAAACGATAAGTATTTTAAAGCATTTCAATATAAGTACATATTACAATAGTATAAGAGATGCAATTATATCTGTTGCTGATATATAAATTAGAGGATAAATAAAGACTTGATTTTTATAGGCTGAGGCACCAGTATATTGGAATATAAAGGAATGGTGCGATGGATTCAGAAAGTTGTTAGATTATCTAGAACTTGACAAAGTCCATCTTTTTGGTGCTTCCTTAGGTTGGAACACATACATACAAAATATTCGCTTTCAACTTTTAATATAATCTAATACATAAAATTTTATATTTGTAGGTGGGTTTTTGGCACAAAAATTTACAGAGATAAATGCACACTGTCCTAGGGTAGTGTCTCTGGTTTTGTGTAATACCTTCACAGACACGTCTGTATTTAGTTACAATGATTCTGCAGCAGTGTAAGTAGGATATTTTAAATAGCTTCAATGTGAGCGCAAATAAAATAACTCAAATTTTTTTTGTAGTTTTTGGATTTTACCTTCACTGGTATTAAAGAAAATGGTAATGGGAAATTTTACAACGGAAAAGATTGATGGGGAGATAATAGAAGCAATTGATTTTATGGTCGAACGGGTATGAATCTTAATTTTCTTCAAACTAGAAAAGATAAAAGATACAAAAAAGAATTGATTTTAGATATGTTATATATAATGATATATACATATAGTATAATATAAATATAGATATATGTTAATATATTTATACAAATATATATATATATATATGTTTTAATTATGATTTACAGCTGGAGAGTTTAACACAACCCGAATTAGCGTCTCGTTTAACAATGAATTGCATAAATTGTTATGTACAACCTCAAAAGATATGCCACTTACCTGTAACAATAATAGATGTTTTTGACGAATATGCGTTATCAAATGCAGTTAGAGAAGAAGTGTACAAATGCTATCCAAATGCAAAACTAGCACATTTGAAAAGTGGTGGAAATTTTCCATATCTAAGTCGATCCGCTGAAGTTAACTTACATTTACAAGTAAATACATTTATAACATACAATTATGATTAAATCATTTATCGACGACATAAAATATAGAAGCATTTGTTTTCAGATTCACTTAAGACAATTTGAAGGTACGGAATATACGGCGTTAGAAAAAGTTACGATTTAGCATAATATATTTGCGTTAGAAAACTACTATAAAATCCAAAAATTGTATATAAATATCAATTAAATAGAGATTCTCCTTTGCTCATATGCAGATATTAAGACTGTAGACAACTTCTATGTTTTTTGTATTAAATCAGACATATTATTTCTCAATGTTCATTCAATGAAGAAATAATTGTTATATAATGTGTAAGTACAATATTTTAAAACATAATTATGTAGCATACTACTAGGAATTATATGACATATATTGTTGTGCTGAACTCGTTATCTAATATTTCATTTTTTAAGATAGGAAAAGCATTTATATTTTGTAATAGCTTTTGATCTCATTTTAATTGTAAAAAGAAATCTTTTTTGACTTTATACTTCATTATTACAAAATAAAACTCTAATAATTTATAATATGTAATTATTAAAAAATAAAAAAATATACAATCTTATTTTTCACAGAATTTGATTTATTATTAATTTAATTTACATTAATTAATAACAAATTGTTAAAATTTAATATGTCTTTCAACATATTATTAAGATCCAATAAGATGCTATAAGCATCAAATACTTTTAGATTGCGTGTCAATTTAACTAGTGATATTACTACGGTAGTTATTTATGGTAGAGTTGCGTTTGTAAAATGTCTGAAAATATTTCGGCGCGCGATTAAAGAAAACTACATACGTGGTAAATAAAATTCACACATTATTGTAGCAACCTAAATATTGCTTGACCGTCCTTTATTTAAATCATTGCAAAAAAATATACATTTTTTATTCCGTTAGTATATGAATTTTGTACAAAATATTTTTAATTATATCTGTATAATAACAAAATATTGTCAACAAATATATTTTATATATTATTTCTTTTATTATGTACTTAATATTTCTCTTATTTCTTTTTAAATAAATGTTTCTCTGTATTTCTCTTATTGTGTACTAAAATGTATTTAATATATTCGTAAAATTTAATATTATATAGTCTATTATTTTTATTATAAAAGTTATAGAAATAACTTCGAATTGTTATTTCCATTTATTATGGTGTGTAGTTGGAAGTGACCATAGTTTGCTAGGTTGCCTGACCGGGAGACCGTATAAGAACTTGCTCGGTATCGATTCCTTCGAGTGTGCCTCTCTCACGTTTCTCTTTTGCAATCTCAGGTTACAGGGCCTGTTTTGCTCAGTATACAAATATGACATTATTATCCATGTCAGTTACCTTAGAATTTTTCTCTTTCACCTATTATTTCTAATGACATTTTTATTAATTATAGTTTACAACTTTTTGTTACATGAAAAATTTAATATTTAATTTATATTTTTCATTATACGTTTTTCTGGATATATATGATATTATTAAAGAGAGAGAGGGAGAGAGAACTTAATGTTTTTAAAATTTAATTAAAATATTAGCGTTAAAAAACAACAGAATTTACACGTTAAATATATTAATTCATAAACACAGACATTAATTTTGTACAAAAAGTATTCATTGAAACATTAGTGAGTTTTGGTTTATTTGACATGCAGGTAGATATCGTCGATATCGATACACCTAATGATAAGATTACGATATTACTGGCTACTGAGTATCATTCCAGAGTAATCCATCTATTAGTTTGACATAATCTTTGTAAAGTACGACGTGTATTTCAGAGCTCAGTCTTTCACCTGCACGTGACGCGAAGAGACAGCCGGCATTCAATATCGTGGTATTCGTGTGGCGATAATGATAAATTTTTATCGGTTTCTTTATAAAAGCTTTAAACAGTTGATATAATTCGAATGCATATATTACGTAAATTTTAATCCGATTATTTCTTTAACGTTCGTGAAACTTTCTTTCAGTTATAAATTAGAGTATACATTAACGAAACATTCGTTCTATGTAGAATTATTCGTGCATTTTATATATTGTATAATTTTTAAAGTTTAAAAAAAGAATATATATATAAGATTATGTTGAATTCACAAAAGATTCAATCGCCGTTCAATCTTTATAGTGTAAAACATAAATTCTTATTTATGAACTTACGTGCAGTGTGTGTGTTTTGTTTAAAGATTTAACATGGTTTATTGAATAGTATTCAATTTTTATTAGTTATATTTTCAGTTTTAATAGGGTATACTTTGAGTTCAAACAATCGGATTATCAAGGTCTTACGTTATTATTAATAATCTCTCGGGTGATATTACTGAATGTTTTACGACGTATAAGTTTGTAAACTTGTCTGCGATCATCACGTAACTCCCAACAAGAAACTATCTTGAAAGAAAACAGCTTGAAGCAAAATTCAATCGAGTGAAAGGAATGCCAACCGCAGGTTTGCCTTATTGTTAGAAAGAAATAACGTTGTTGAAAATATTATATATAAGGAATTTCAAAAATGTGTTTTGTCAAAAATCCCTTTTTGTGGATTAGATGTGGCCTCAGGTGGCAGAGTATTTAGTGTTGACACGCTTACGATAACGATGTTCTGAAAGTATTTTCTTTTACCATCGATTTATGTTCCAGTGAGAAATGGTAATGAAATGACAGGATTGGGAAGTAACGCGTTACTTTTGTAACGGCGTTACTGTTTTCGTTACTTTTTTCAGTAACAATCGTTACTTTTTTCTGTCTGTAACGGTAACGGTAACGTCGTTACATTTTTACAGTAACGGTAAAGTTGGGAAGTAACGCGTTACTTTTGTAACGGCGTTACTGTTTTCGTTACTTTTTTCTGTCTGTAACGGTAACGGTAACGTCGTTACATTTTTACAGTAACGGTAACAAATTTAGTCGTTACTTTTACCGTTACTTTAGTTTTCTATTTTTAGTTTCCTATTCAACAGATAAATCTTATTCAGATTATCGCTTTCGGGAATCATTTTATTTCTTGATTTCTCATATAGTTTTTTGTCATGAAAATGTAGAAATGAAATGATATCCGAATGATCGCGAAAGAGATATATATCTTTTTTTAAGTATAAAATGTGCATGGAGTTGTGTACTTTTTAGTTTTTTTTTTAATATGAAATGAATAACTTTCTTCTCTATGTCGAAGCGTTAAATTTTAAGAATTTTTCATTTCAAATTTATTTATGCCAAATTTCAATATTTTGTACTTTGTCTATGTCAAATTTCAAGATTTTGTGCTTTGTACTCCTAACATAACCAAATTATGTACAATAAATGCAATTATAAAATATTTATTGTTTCATATTTTATAATCTATTCTTAATTTCTTTTAAAAATATTTTCTAATAATTTTTAGCATTATAAAAAAAAGTAACGAAAAAGTAACGAATCGTTACATTTTAAGTAACGGTAACGCGTTACCCCAGGTAGCAAGCTGTCGTCAACTTGACATCGATATAGTTAGTCATTTTAAATTATTGACGTCATGTGTGACCTATTTAAGATGTAATAATAACGTCATCATTCTTGACCAATTAATGACATCATTATTTATGACGTCTTTACAATGTCATACTTGATGACGCTGAATAAATGGCCAATCGTCGACGTATTAGTAACGTTATTAATGATCAATTAATAACGTCATATATTTATTCCATTAATAACACGAAAATAATGACATCTTTTCGACGTCGCTTATGACGTTATGTACCTGTGACAAATTCACGTCATTTTTACGATGTTCAAACGTCATTTTAAACGTCACATTCGTCATAAGAATGACTAAGCGTGTGTTCCAAATTGACTGCCAGTACTGAAAACCTATAATAGTGCTCGTGACATAAACTATAGATTTTCAGTACTGGCAGTCAATTTTGGAGCACAGCATAAATAATGACGTTAAATAGACGAAACCTTGCTACCTGGGATACTTTTATGAGGTAACGCGCACAACTCTATGAAATGATGACGTCAATTCGACGTTAAAATCACCATTTCTCAAACTATCATTTCTTACTAGGGTGCTGAAAAAAGTCTGGACATTCAAAACAGCGCATTATGTCCTTTAACTAGAGAAAACAAATGCATTTGTTTAACATTATTAGAAACAGTTTAGCAATTTTTCTTTAACATTTTACATGTTTTAATGATTGGCAAATTGCTATTTTCTATAAGACGCATAATTTTCCTTGTGGTTTTTTTCGTTTTCTGAAAATTATAAATTTTGAACAAAACACATTTTGAAAGTCTGCTCTTCATATTATGAGCAATAGAATTTATTCATGCTTTAATTATTGTTCTCGATATTTACATAATTGAAAGTTTTTTATTTCTTTTGCGAAACCACGGTAAATAATTATTACATGTTATTTGTAACTTTCATTATAGTTGGATTTTCCGCAGACATAGGAATATAATTTTTTGAAACAGTATCTCGTAATGGATTCACCAGAACTGTGAAAGTTTCCCTTTTATTTTGAAAAATACGCCTCTTTAGAATGGATAATGAACAAAGGCCTCTCGTGAACAGCGGGAGAATATCAACATCCACAAAAATTGCTTATGCACTGGGACATATCTTCAATGATCTAGCAGCAGCTATGTGGTTCTCTTATACCTTAATTTACCTGCAACGAGTTGCATTGTTAGAACCTGTCATCGCTGGTTCGCTTCTACTGTTAGGTATGTGTCGATCTATCTATGTGCGTGAACGGTACTACATTAGTCATACTATTGATTAATGTAACATCGAACGATCTTCATTAAAGGACAAATCATCGACGCCGTTATGACTCCAATATTTGGTTTCCTAATTGATCGCTATTGCAAGAAAAAGATTTGGCACATCGTTGGATCCGTGATGGTCACTTTATCTTTTCCCGTAATATTCGGCAGTTTTGTCAATTCATCTACCACGGTTGCGATGCTTTTATATATAACAAGCATTACGATATTTCAAACGGGTTGGGCGGCCGTACAAATCTCTCATTTATCTATGATTCCCTCCTTAACTAATTCCGTCCTAGTTCGAGCAGATTTAACCGCAATAAGGTATGTGATTTGTGTAATAAACGTGAGATAGTAATTGGATAGCGAGAGGGTCTAAATGTTTCAACTCTACTCCTAGATATTCTGCTCAAGTTGGTGCTGCTGTGGTAACTTTTGTAGTAACATGGATAGTTCTACCAACTAGCGGCGAATCGATGGTTCAATTGGATCAGCAAGATGCTTATAAATTCAGAGTACGTATGGAAAAGAAACGATGATAAAAGAAATTATATACATGTGATTTTAATTTTCAGAATATCGTTCTGGTTCTCACAGCTTTCGGTTTGACTACGACTGTCTTGTTTCACATTTTCCTGAAAGCGAATCTCTTGGAACAAACAATATTCCTAAAATCGGACATCGAGAAGTCAGCTAAGCCGTCGAATGTTTCGTCGAATCGTCGAATATCGTGGATCGACATCACGATTTTATTAAGAGTCGCGATGTTGTATGTGGCGAGCAGATTATTTATCACTCTCGCTACGGTATATTTGCCGTTGTATATAGAAGAGACAAAAGTCGATGGTAAGCAAGCGTTAGCCAGTGTGCCGTTGGTATCGTATTTATCCTCATTCACTGCCGCTTTGCTGCTCAAATACCTAAACAGAATTTGCAGTACCAAGGTAAATTTTTTAAATAATAAAAAAAAAAGAAAACAGACAAGAAGAGGCTACGTGTATTTTTGAATTCGTCGTAGGCTTGCTACTTTTGCGGTGCTATAATTGGTATAATCGCCGCCGTTGTCACGGAATTTGTCGGAAGTAACTCAACAGTCGTGTACTTCGTCGCCGTATTAATTGGCGTGGGAAGCTCCATCACGATGGTCACCGCATTGAGCGTCACCGCCGAATTAATCGGCTGTCGAACGGAACGTAGCGCGTTCGTGTATTCAATCGTCACTTTCCTCGATAAAATCATCACTGGTCTCGTGGTGATGTTCATCGAGAAATTGTGAGTAACTCCACATTTTATTTAATCACAGTCCTTCCACAATACGTTAAAAGTTGTCATAAACAAATATAATTTATTTTAAATAAATATAATTTCATTCGATTTTAGATTAATAATGTAAAGTTGGTTAGTTTATCGTTTCTAAAATTAGTTTTTATTCTTTTTTTTTTCAGGAGATGCAACGACAAAGAACTTTGTCCTACTTACAATCGAGACGTATTGTCTATCGTTTGTGCTTCCTCTATGATACTGGGACTTATAACTTTGCTATCTGTATCGCGTTGTCTTACTTGAAATACTAACAAATTCATATTTTTTATATTATGTACCGTGTAAACCACATAATTTTTCTTTTGAATATTATTAGTAAACGATAAGAAAATATTTTATACTGTATCTCGTGTCATTATTGCATCGTTTACTATATGTAATCAATGGTAAATTCATCATAGTGATTATTCAGGTAGCAAGGTTTCGTCTATTTAACGTCATTATTTAGTCATTCTTATGACGAATTTGACGTTTAAATAAATGACGTTTGAACATTGTAAAAATGACGTGGATTTGTCACAGGTACATAACGTCATAAAGTCGACGTCGAAAAAATGTCATTATTTTCGTGTTATTAACGGAATAAATATATGACGTTGTTAATTGATCATTATAATAACGTTACTAATACGTCGACGATTGGCCATTTATTCGACGTCATCAAGTATGACGTCTTTAAGACGTCATAAATAAATGACGTCATTATTACATTTTAAATAGGTCACATGACGTCAATAATTTAAAATGACTAACTATCGATGTCAAAATGACGACAGCTTGCTACCTGGGATACATTGTCGATTCTTCGAAAATGACAAGGATCTATATGAAGTTAGTACGTTAGCTTTGTAAAGAAAATAATGAGTTTTCCCGAAATAAGTTTCAGTAGCGCTTTCTATAATTCTACAGTTCCTTATAAAAATAAAAAACAATCAATAAGAAATTGCCTTCAACGGTCAAGCTGCATCTTAGGTGCTATTACAATTCAGTGTGAGAATTTATATATTACATATGTAGTCTTTTAAACCGCGCGCCGAACAATTTTTCGGTCTTGAAACGCCACTCTACGAAACTACCGCAATATAATATCACGAGTTAAATTATCTAACGATTTAACAATTTTTATACTCATAGCATCTTTTGGATCTTAATAATGTTGAACGACATATTAAAATCTACGAATGAAAATCTGTAAATAATTTAAAAGACTACATACGTAATATATAAATTTACACTGAATTATAACAGCACCTAAGATCCAGCTCGACCGATAAAATATGCAGAGAATGGTTTCGACGCTTTCAAAGTGGTGATTGTGATGTGAAGGATAAAAGGCGCTTTAGACGGTCAAGACTATTTGAAAATAAAAGAAGTGTAGACATTGCTGAATGAAGACCTATGTCAAAAATAACTTTCAAAAACTTAAATTGTGCTCAATCAGTTATTTCGGATTGTCGAAAGTCTTAAAAAAGATTTACAAAAAAGAAAAAGAGATCCCATATGAACTGAAGCCACAAAATAAGGTGAAAGGCAAAAAAACGATCCGCAAAATTCTGCTTGTTAGGCAACAAAGAAAGGGACATTATGTACTATTATTGAGAAGGAAAAATAGATTTGTTTTGTCAACCTCAAACGTCGAAAAACTATTTGTGATTCGGTGAATCCTGAACTTCGCCGCTATAGCGGAATATCCACGAAAGAAGGCAATGCTTTGTATTTGATGAGACCAGAAGGGTATAGTGTTATATCATGAGCTGTTAAAATCTGCAGGTCAGTCACAGGGATTCTCTACTGATAAGAACAAATTATTATGAAATAATATTTTAGCCGAGTATTGCGCGAAAAACGATCAGAATATGAGACAAGACAGCATAAAGTGATCTTGCTTCAATAACGCTCGACTTCACGTCACTAAAGCCTGATTGCACCAACATTTTTTGATTTTAAGCGAGACTTAAAACTCTATCTATCTCGTTTTAAAGCTGAAAGGGAGATAGAGACAGTTTAGGTTTCGCTTAAAATCGAAATCACGTTGGTGCAATCTGACCTAAGGCTGTTAATAACGAAACTAAATACCCATCTAATAAGGAAACATTTTGAAAGTAGTGAGAAGTGCTATCCTATATGGCTTATTCACCAGACTGTGCCTCTTCCGACTATCACCTGTTTCGGTCGATGGCACACGCACTTACAGAGGAACATTTCAATTCTTGAAATGAAAGCGTCGAAAAAAATGGGTGTCTAACTGGATAGTCTTTAAAGATGAGTCGTCCTTTCGTCGTGGGATCCGCTTATCAGCAGAAAGATGGGAGAAAGTCTTATCTAATGATGGCCAATACTTTGACTGGTACTTTTTCATTTTGTTTTTTAAATAAAATCATTTTTTTGCAAAAAAAACGGTCGGACCTTTCCGATTGACCTCTAATGTAAATCTCTTTATAAGAATGCAAAGAAAAATGAAATAATTCAATTTTCTTTATATTGTTTCGGCAAATTTAGATTAGTCTTATTAAAGTACTTAATATTAATTCTTTTTTATAGAAATTATATTATCATTTTGATTCATTTAAAATTAATTAGGGTCTTTTAATTAAATGAATTAAATAAATCTTACAGACTTAACGTCAGTAAACGTACTGTTATATAAATTTTGATGCTACCTTCGAAGAGTTAATCATAGCGAGTTTACTCATCACGCAGATATTTCTATTTGTTATTCCTTTTCTCGATATATTAACCTTGATAATTTGCTTCTGCAATTGCGTACACAGTGGACACTTGGGTCACCTGCTAAAGAAAGCATTGAAGTTGTAAGAAAACAATCATGCATTGTATACCCACAAATAAATGGTCTAGACAGCACGTCTGTGACGTCCGCAGTTCGAGTTTATCTTTCCAAACGGAAAAGAGATAACGATGCAAGAAAAGAAAGTTCATTGTTGAGTTTCAAATGATCCAACAGCTTACCCGTCGAGGAATAAAGATTAAATACGACCCAGAAAAAAATTATAATATATTCATATCAAAGTTCCGAAGAGATATTTAAAAAATATATTTCATTATTTTTCAACGATATTTAAGTGCTATCTAAAAGATACATTTGTCCAAAATTATCAAAACGTTTTCTAAAAGTCTGAAAGATATCTCTTCGCCTATCTAGGAATAATCTGGTACGACAATCGATATTTTCATTCTAATCTGTTTTGTGGAAGAAAGAATGATAACGATTCATTATTCAAATTATAGTATCTTATATAAATAACACACGTAGTAGTATTATCTATTTCCAAAGCGATATCGACCAAATGCCAATCAATTTGATCGATGATTGATCAATAGAATTATGACAAAATTTCTAACTAAACAAAAAATTAATATTTAATTTATTTTAGCGAAACAATGCAAGCGCATCGCGCTAGAATAATCCGAAGATTCTTCATCTCAGGCTGCGTTCGAAAATGTCACCCTGCAGGTTTCCCCGAGTATCATCTTATCCTCAGGCCTGGATTAAAGAATTGAGGGGCCCGGGGCTACTTAACATTAGGGGGCCTTTGTTTTCAATCTTATTAAAAAAGATGATCATCACGTCTGTACGTAAAGCAGTATAATTAGATTATTTAATCCAAAACAATAAACATTAAAATTGAATCATATAAAGATTAGAGAGAGAGAGAGGGGGAGAGAGAGACAAATAAATAAATTAATACATTCTTTAGTTAAAATTTTTTTTTCTCAATTTTAATTTTACAAAATCTTGTACTAAATTATTCAAATCAATCGATCTTAGTAATTCAGATTCGATTACTAAGCGAGTTAAAGATGTTAATCGTTCGTCCAACATCACTGTTCTGTACATATTTTTTATTCTTTTAAGAACTAGATTCTTTTTTAATCAAAAAATTAAAATTTTTTCCTTAATGCAATGGGGGCTCCTATTTCCGTGGGGCCTGGGGCTACAGCCCGCTCTAGCCCTCCCCCCCCTCTCCACCCTTAATCCGGGCCTGCTTGTTGTCCATTCAATGTTAAACAAAGACGATACACAATGGTACTCGAGTGATATTTCCGAACGTAGCCTCAGGTGGTAGACACAGAGCTGTTTCTCCAGAGGCTTATCATTCGCGCGGGATTTATCAGGATTTATCATCCGCGCGTCGGTTTATCATCCGGGCGCGCGCGCGCGCGCGCGGCGTGGAGTCGTTACTCCGAAGTTTTCATTCAGATGTCACGACGTGTTTACGGTTTCCGTGGTAAAGGGCCGTTATAACCGTCCCGACGGAAGGTGGATGCGGCGTCGCTCGGTGGCGCGAGAGTACGATGACCCGGTCTGTTCGCACGTTACGCGCTCTGGCTCGTCGCGGTTGCGTCGTAGTACGTCAAGGCAGATATTCCCTTTATCGCGCGTAGAAAGCGCACGTCGGGGAGGGAAGAAGAAGAAGGGAGAGAGAGCCGCGTATAGACGGGCGGCGAACAGAGCGGCGAGCCATTGCGCAGCCGCTTATTTTGTTCGGTGGGCGAGAGGCGGGCGGTGGCGGACGCACGTTTAGCGGGGCATGGCGCGGTGCGCGTTCTAGTAAACAAGTTGTGTGCGAGTCGCGCGGGGAATCTTTGCGCCCTGACCGAAGAGCAGCCGCGCGATATTTATTTAACGACGCGACGCGTCGCGTCGCCCGACGACGATCTCACCACACACACACACACTCACTCTCTCCCCGAAAAATCTCGCCGTTCTGTCGGGGAGGGGGGGCCCGAGGGATAAACAAACTCGGACAGCGCGATTCGTGTCTCGCGCTTTCGCGTGTTGTGCGTTCGCGGGTGTGAATGGTGTGTTGGTGTAATCACGGAGAAAAGAGTGTTACCGCCACAGTGTGTGTGTGTGTGTGTGTGTGTGCGTACGTGGTGTGTAATTTGCCACCGCGGGGTACTGGAGCATCTCTAACGAGGAGGAGCAGAAGAAGGAGGAGGCGATCTTCGATCGTGCTTGACGGAAGGTCAAGCCGTCGGCGCTGTGAGTGATGACACCTCGCAACGCGTTTCGGGGCTTCCACTAGACGCCGTGCCTCGGTGAGTCCTCTCTCTCTCTCTCTCTCTCTCCTCCTTCGCGTCGTTTACGCTTTTTCGCCGCACGCGCGCGAACCACCGCACGGCTCGTCCTCTGCTTTTCCTGTGACCGCGGTGTAATTCGACTATTATCGAATTCCTGCGGAATACCGTTGCGAGCGTGTGCGAGGCTCCCCCCGTAACAATACTATCTCGGACTGTACGACGTCCAAATGGATGGACTT